TGCCCTCATCTTCACGGGGCAGCGTCAAAGCTATCCCTCTGCAGCAAAGGCAGGAGCGTAGGCATGTAGAACCTATGCCTACCTTACTAAAAAAACCCTAAACCTACCTTACTAAGCGCTCAACCAGCCCTAGCAGTTCCGATGGCGAGTTCGGAACTCAGCCTGAAAGCCCACACAACACGAAAAGTGTACTCACCACAAATTTCCACCTAAAAACCTCGAGTGGCAATATAAAGAGAATAAACCGATGCCGAGGTTCCAGCAAGAGAAAACTTGGAGAATACTCTTGGCTATTTTTAGTTACAGCTTTGCCTACTATCTCCACCACCTAGAAATATCGTCAGTTGCGGTGCGACTTCGCAAGCGACGCCTAGCAGCGCGGCCAGTTACGGCTGTCAGAAACCAAGGTTGCGAGTTCGATTTGTGGGAGGGCCCAGTCAGAGCACGACTGGGACTCGGTGAGTCGCTTTGAGAGCGCCGCTCGCTCTAAAACGCGACACACTTCCACCGCATACATTTCGTTTTTATTAGGCTATCTATTTAATGCGCATTTCAGATTTGTTGTGCACACTACGTTCAAGGAGTGTGCATAACAATTTTGTTCGGCGACGGGGAGGGGGGGGGCATTTTGCACTTTTGCTACTTCCCATCGACGTGTCGACCTATCTAGACAGCCTCTTCTCGAGTTGACAGGTTTTACCATGATGGCTTGACGACCTTGCTCCAGCTTCACAAGAGTTCACAGGTTTCACCAGAGTGAGACTTGTAAACCGGAACTAGTGAAGCAAGGAAAGTACAAAATGCCCTACCCCGTCGCCGAACTGCACCGATTTTCGCACATCGTTGCTTGTGGTTTCTATGAAGCACTTATTTGTGCTAGCTGACCAATTTTGGAAACAGAGGAAAGCCCTCCAAATGAACCGCTCGCTTTCCAATACTGGACCAGGATGCGATAGGCAGAGGCGCAGGGCCACTCTTAGAGACCATACCAAGGCTCGCGATGGCCCCACTACACAGACAAGGACATCCAAGTCGATAGTAACCCCACGCTGCAGACGTGTTTCCATGGAGCACCCGAACTTGGTGTACTAGGCTTCTGATAACCATGAGCTCTTAGCGCCCTTGCAATGCACTTTCTAGGGTACAAAGTGGCACGACTTGTGTGCTGTGGCTTTCAACTCAGGGGTTTCCAATCTGCACTAAATTAGTTTAAACTGAATTTCCGTCTCTACGGAGCAACCGCACTCCACGGCGAAGCGCAAAAGCTGGGGCAGTATTCTGCTAATTTTGCCACTGGTCTTTTCATTATTGACACCTGCACACACGACACTCTGTCGCTAGAATACGACCCCCATTTCACGGATTCCGCGACATATGTACGCTTGGCTTCGGCGCATTAAATGCGTAAGGCATGATAAATATTGTTGTATCAGAGGAATGAACTCTGATAAAGCTTGATACTGCGCACCTCTCTTGAGATCGTATTTAAGAGAGGTGAGTGAGCGGTAGGGTTGTTAGAGTTTGAGTTTTTGTTCGG